ACAGAGACAGAGACAGCGACAGAGACAGAGAGACAGAGATGTGAGGGAGATACTTGGAGAACCTGCAACCCAGATATATGCCCTAGACCAACAAAGGTATTTTAATTGATTTTTTTTTTTTGAGAGAGAGTGAGGGGGGAAAAAAAACAACATTGATTTTTGTTGTTCCACTTATTTAAACATTCATTGGTTGACTCTTGTATGGGCCCTGACCGGATATGGAACCCACAACCTTGGGTATCCACACACTTACCAACTGAAGCTACCCAGCCAGGGCTGACGGAGTTTTTTTAATGGAGAGTGTCTGGAGCTTAGGAGCTCGCTTTATCCCAGAACCACGGCAGAGAGTCCCTCACTTCCCAAAGCTGGGTTTTTACAACTACACATCCTGGAAACCTGAAATTCCCAAGAATTGGAAAGAACAAAACCTTAGTGTTCACTTGCGGTGAAACTTCAAGTTCTCAGTGGAAATTTTGCTTTTTCTGTGATGTGATCTTCCTTGACCAAGTTATTGAATTTTTCTGTGCCTCAAGTCCTTCATCTACAAAAGGGGGCAAATAAGAGCACTTCCCTCGTGGGTTAATCTGAATTTTAATGAGATAGGCACATAAGGGCACATAGGTATTTGACCAATTAAAAGTGTTCATTAAAGGTTAGCTACTGTAATTCTTTTCAGTAGCATCTCATCACCATTCTCATTATTACCTTGTCTTTTGAAACAACTGCATATCCTTTCATGGTATGGATGGCCTATTACATAATTAAACATTCCTCAATTGATAAACATGCCGTTGGTTCTAATGTTTATTGTTGTTGGGTTTTTTAAAAATATATCTTTATTGATTTCAGAGAGAGGAAAGGAGGGGGAGAGAGAGAGATAGAAACATCAATGATGAGAGAGTCATTGATTGAGCCCGCAACCGGCCATGTGCCCTGACCCTGACCGGGAATAGAACCCTGATCGCCTGGATCCTAGGTCGAGGCTCAACTGCTGAACCACGCCCCCCCCCTAATGCTTATTGTTATAAATAATTCTTCAAGAACATCTTTATACCAATATCCTTATCACCTGTGCAAGGATTTCCCCAAAATAGATTCCTGGAAGTAGACTTGCCTGATCAAAGTATTTGTGCATTTCTAATTTTGTTAATTCCTGACTAATTACCCTCCAAAGAAGTTGCACCTAGTCACAGTCTCATTATCCAAAAGACAGCTCTTTTCTTGGCAACCCTACCAAGCATTTAATAGCAGTACAAACCCATCTCTTAGGTTGGAGAATGTTATTGCTTGTTGGTCTCACACGTGACTCTGAATCTTGTAGGTAAAGGGCCAGTGCTGTGATGGTCCCCTTTGTTTCCCCGACCACTGGGAATTCTGAGGAAGTGGTTCCCAAGATCGGACTGTAGAGCTGTTCCCAGTGTCCCTGTGACAGAGCCCAGGCTTTAGCTGCGGAAGAAGAACCCAGAACACACCCTCCAGAGTGAGACCTTCATGGTGGATCCTAAGCCAAATAAAAATTGGAAAGGGGAGACATTTAACTTTTTCATTAGATTGAGATGTTGGGTAATAGATCTTTTATTTTTGTAACCAGAACCAAGGTTCGACTGCCTGCCGCCACAAAAACCAAACTCATGATTACAGATGCTGGTGAAAAAGGAAAGAAGTTTATTCAAGCGCCGGTCACTTGAGCAGATGGGGGACTCTTGCCACAAAGCCCATCTCCCCACCTCAGTGCAGGCAGAGGTTTTTATAAGGAAGGAGAGGGAAAGCAGAACAAAGAAATCAAGGAGAGTGGGTTGAAAAGCTCTCTATGTGCAGGCCAGCAGAGTTCATTCCAATAAGTATCTCAAAACTGGTCAAGGGATGGCCTGGTGTGTGTCATCCTGGTCTTTGTCATCTTGGTTCTACGCTTGAAGGTCAGCAAATGTCCTGGAACTGGGATGAATGAAGGTCCGAGACTGTATCTTCTGAAGTTAGTTCCTAGGATTCTTATACAAACATGCTGCTTCTCTACAAGCTACATATTAGAGTGAGCATTACAGAAACAATGTCAAAAGAATGGGGGCGGGTGGAGGGGATCAATGGGGGGAAAAGGGGAATATCTGTAATGCTTTCAACAATAAAGATAAATTTAAAAGGAACGCCAGAGTTGTTGTAGAGAAGCCTGTAGGCCCATTTAACCTACACCTCCCATCCCAACAATGAAAACATGTTTACGAGGAACAAATGTAAGGCAAACAACTTTAGGCTCTGAGGGTAGAGCAAAGGTCTCCGGGGTGTCAGGAACTAACTCAATACAAGAGGGCGCCTTGCTCCACGGAGGCCGCCAGGACCCCGCTGGCCGGGCAGCCCCCGCCAACACCCCCCCGCTGGCCGGGCAG